ACAAGGTTCTCCATGAGGCTCCCCACGACGGTCTCGTGAAGGCACTCCTTATGGTTCTCACACAGATGGACAGGCTCAATTTGAAAATGTTGAAACCATGAATGAGGCTCTGCAAAAACTTATTGCCTCTCAAGTCAATAACGCTCTTCAAGCTTTTGTTAGCCAATTACCTGCTGTTCCACCCACATCAACTCCAAACAACAACACTTTGGAGAATCCTCGTTCAGGATTGGTTAATTCAGGCAGCGGTGGATCCCCTAGTGAAACACAAGAGAGAGACCCAGGTAATCCAGTTAACTCTGATTTACAAAATCTAGTACTAACCTTGTAGAAACAGCTTAAGGAGCAAAATGAACGCATAGAACAAATACCTGGAGTACCGCCCGTGATCAAGGGAGTAGATATAGATAAATATTCCCAACAACCATGGAAGCCAAGTGCTGCTCCCCTCCCAATTCCAAAGAAGTTTAAAATGCCAGATATTCCAAAGTATGATGGTACATCAGATCCACGAGATCACGTTACTGCATTCACAACAGGTGTCAAAGGCAATGATTTGACTAAGCAAGTGATTGAGTCGGTCTTGGTCAAAAAATTCGGTGAAACACTCACTAAAGGGGCCTTAACATGGTATTCTCTTTTACCTAAAAATTCTATAAATTCGTTTGCTCAGCTTGCAGATTTATTTATCAAAGCACACTCGGGAGCTCAAAAAGTTGAAAAGCGAATGGAAGATATCTTCAAAATCAAGCAAGGAGACTCAGAGTTGCTTAGAGAGTTCGTAGATAGATCTCAACGGGAAAGAATGACGCTGCCACGAGTACCTGACAATTGGGCAGTCATAGCCGTTGCTAGTAATTTGAATGAGAAGAGTTCAGAAGCCACGAGGCGACTCAAAGAAAGCCTTTGAGAATTCCCACCAACAACGTGGAATGATGTCTACAACAAATACAGTACAAAGATGAGGATTGAAGAAGACATTATTTTACGACATAAAACAAAAGAAAAGGTAAGCTCAAGGCGTGTGGAAAATGAGAAAAGATCCGGTAAAAATAGATACGAGCCATACATGGGACCTTCGGGGGAAAGACTCACGATCAAGGCAAGATAATCAAAGGTACGATCACAAACCTAGAAACAAGGAGTCAGGCTCCTCATCGAGGTTCGGAAATGACCGGAACACACGTGGGTCACGAGACGATGATGGAAGTCTAAAGGCAAGGTTCGGTGGTTACAACTTCAACGTAAGCACCTCTGAACTCGTGGCTGATTTAAGAAGCATGGGAGATAAGGTACGATGGCCAAAGGAAATGCAATCAAATCCGAACAGACGAAACCCTGATCATTGGTGCGAATTTCATAACGATCATGGGCATAAAACAGCAGATTGCAAGTTTCTACAAGGTGAAGTTGATCATTTGTTAAAACAGGGGTATCTTACTGAGTTGTTCAGTGATAAAGGTAAACAAGCATACATGAAGAACAGACAGGAGCCTCCAAAACCACCTTCGCCCAAGAGAACTGTCAACGTTATAAGTGGAGGTGAAGAGATCAATGATGTATTATATAAAAAGATTTCAAAAGTGACAATTACCCACGGGAAGAGGCCTCGACATGTATTGGAAGAAGAGAATATTATATTCAACAACGCAGACGCCGAGGGACTCATAACTCCGCACAACGACGCACTGGTAATATCTTTACTTGTACATGATACTAATGTGAAACGAGTTTTGGTTGATCCAGGTAGTTCTGTAAACATTGTTTTAATACGGGTATTGCGCGAGATGCAAGCGGAGGATAAATTAATTCCAAATGCGCATACTTTGTCGGGATTTGATAACTCTAGTGTTGTAACAAAAGGGGAGGCAATACTTACTACATTCGCAGAAGGCGTCGTTAAAGATACCAAATTTCAAGTGGTAGATATGGAAATGGCTTACAATATGATTCTTGGGAGGCCATGGATTCATGACATGGAAGTTGTTCCTTCAACTATACATCAAGTAACTAAATTCCCATCTCCATGGGGAATATGCCAAATCAGAGGCGATCAACAAACATCTAGAAGCATCAATTCCATTGCAGATTCAACTGTTAAAGGTGAAGACAAATAGCAATTACAGAATTTAGGTGAGGGTAACACGGAGTCAACCTCACCTGAGCAAAAGCAAACAGATCTGGATTCGAGACCTGATACCATTCAAGAACCGGAGGAGAACGACAACATCAAAATAACGATAGAAGAGCTGGAGGCCGTGGTGTTATTTATACATTGGCCCGAGAGAAAAGTGTACATAGGAGCTAATCTTAGCCCGGAGGTAAAACGTAAATTGATTGAATTTTTAAAGGCTAATGCAGATTGTTTTGCTTGGTCCCATTCTGACATGACAGGGATACCACCGGAGGTCATGACCCATAAATTGAATGAAGATCCATCATATCCTCCCATCAAGCAAAAGAAAAGAAAGCAAGGAACTTTTAAAAATAAGGTGATCAGAGATGAAAGTCCAAAAAGTTGACTAAAAAATTGGTTCTAAACTCGTGAGGTAAAAATATCCTA